CCAATACCATGCTGTTTTTGTTACTATTACTCTGTAGTATAGAATATGGCCATTTTGACAATATTAATTTTGCCTATCCATGAGCATGGGAGATCTTTACATCTTCTAAGGACTTCTTCAATTTATTTCTTTAGTGTTCTGTAGAGGTCTTTCACCTCTTTTGGTAAGTTCATTCCCAAGTATATTATTATTTTTTTTTTGAGAATGGGGTAGTTTTTCTAATTTCTCTTTCAGAGGATTCATCACTAATGCATAGAAATGCATTTGATTTATGGGTATTGATTTTATATCCTGCTACTTTGCTGAATTTATGATTACTGAGACTAGTTTTTGATAAAAAACTTAAAAAGCTTTTCTCTTAACTGTGTTCTTATTCTATCCTTGATTTCAGCCACCTTCTCTCCTTATATACTCCAATTCAGGATAGCCTCTTTTCCAGTTCTGACCCAGTATTCTATGTTTACTTCATTTTTTTCTGTAATTTATCTGGGATTTTAGAGGATGGAGCAAATATACTGTTCCAGGCCACCATTTTGGTAGAAACAAAAGCCTACACACACTTCTCTTTCTCTCTCTCTCTCTTTCTCTCTCTCGCATTCACACATACACATACACTTATTTGGATTTATAAAATTATGTGCATTTATAAAATTATCTATTTTTTTGAAACAAATTGGATAGATCCTTTATAAGTGAATAGATGTATTTGTTTATGTTTGTAACATAATAGAACAATGTAAAAGGATATACAAAACCTTATGTTTCAATTTGCTTAGGACAATATTTGTGAAAGATTGCCAGATTTTTATTTGTACTACTACCCTGTATTGGGAAATATACATTGAAATTAAATTACAATAAACTGCGTTTTGAAAATAATCTGGACCAGAAGATGGCAGCATAGTAGCATATTTGGTCTAAGTGTTTTTACTCTCCTTCCTGCACACTAGTGTGAGTCTTGGTGACCTGCTGTTTCCCCATTTTCTGCATTTAGCTATAATAAAATAACATTCACAGACTGTATGATTCAATTCCTGTTTGTATTGGCTGCTTGCTTAAAATGTCATTAGCTGTTTTTAATCTGTGTGACTAAGTCACCTAATGTTCTTCCAATGGTTGTTATCCTTTTCTTTAATTGCCACTAATATATCTTCCTGAGTTATAAGAAATATTCCATCAATTAAAAAAAAACAACAATATAAGCATTTTTTGATTCTGTAATGTTCTGTTAATTGGAAATATTCTGGGATCTTTTTCTAAGGCAGGTTGAAAAACCAGCTTCTGATCACCTCAGCCTTACCTGCGATTCCTGCAGGCCTGCTGTAACTCACACAGTTCCTATTTATTTATTTCTAATTGACTGGGACACTTGAGGGAGGAAAGTCAAAAAACGATCATGCCATGTGGGGCTAATCTTATTCTCCATAAGTCTCCTACTTTCAAAAGCAGTTGTTAAGAAGACTTTTGCCTCTTCATATGGCCTTGAGAGTTGGGACTTGATTTTATATACAATGTGTATTTAATGTCTAGAGTACTCAGTACCTAACACAAAGAAGTTCAAGAAGTGTTTGTTAGATGCACATAAGGTGATTATGTAAGTGGTTGCCTAGAGTGCTCTAGGTCAGTGATGTTCAGTGGAATTTTCTGTATTTATGGAAGTATTCTATAGCCACTAGTCACATGTGGCTATTTTGTGCTTGAAATGTCATTAGTATGAATAAAGAAATTAATTTTAAAGTTACTTAAATTTAATAAATTTAAATCTAAATAGCTTCATCTGGCTAATGGCTACCATATTGGAGACTACAGTTTTGGTGCTCAGTGTTGTTCTGTTCTCCATTCTACATGTTAGTAGATTCTGCCTCAGTTGAATTCATAAACCTCTTCAAGTGGTATGTATTTAAACATTCTGAAGATAGTATACAGATACACTTGAAGCAGGATTTAGGCATTTGACAAATAAGCCATATATATATATATATATATCCCCACCATCTCTCTGTCTCTCTCTCTCTCTCTATCTATCTATCCCACCATCTCTCTGTCTCTCTCTCTCTCTCTCTCTCTCTCTCTCTCTCTCTCTCTCTCTCTATCCCACCATCTCTCTGTCTCTCTCTCTCTCCATTATGGATAGATAGATAGATAGAGAGAGAGAGAGACAGACAGAGAGATGGTGGGGGAGATAGATTCTATCATAGTTCAGCCTTCAGTGTTTTTTCTCCAGCTTCTGCAACCAGGTTCAGTTTCCAAATGATCTTAATTTGTTTGGAATTTTATAGATATGAGTGATGATAGATTTTATTTTATCATTTTAATGCATCAGCATTATAAAAATGAAGAGAATAAAATTATTTTCAAATGCATGTTGGAAATTGTGAGTGCATTATTTTAAATAGTGACTTTTCCCAAACAATTATTGACCTATTGTAGTGGCTCTTAACTGAAGATTATCTTGCTCCCTAGAGGAGTTACTTTTGGTTGTTAAAACTTTTGGTGGCTCAAGCGGTAGCGCGCTCGCCTGGCATGCGTGCGGCCCGGGTTCAATCCTCAGCACCACATACAAACAGGGATGTTGTGTCCGCCGAAAACTAGAAAATAAATATTAAAAATTCTCTCTCTCTCTCCCTCCCTCCCTCCCTAAAAAAAAATAAAAAAAATAAAAATAAAAAAATAAAAATAACAGTTAAGATACCAATTTACATGCTGAAGTAAATATGATTTTTACTTAAAAAAATTTTTTTTAGATGTTGATGAACCTTTACTTTATTCATTTATTTGTATGCAGTTCTGAGTATCGAACCTAGTACCTCACACATGCTAGGCAAGTGCTCTACCACTGAGCCACAACCCCACGCCATGATTTTGATTTTTAATTAAAGAAATAAAAAGCAGATAAAGTAAGAAAATTTAGGAGATTTTTATTTATTTATATTGGTGTAAAATCCTTTTAAAATCTTTAAAATAATTGAATAAAGAAATTTTGAAGAATTATTCAAGCAATTCCAGAAGTATAAAGTTGATTTAACAGTTACCAAACACATTACACTAATAAGAAATAATAAAATCTTTATCAGTGTAATGTATACTGAAAAGGCACTTAAAATTCAACTATCTCAAATGAAACTAAATGAAAAAAAATTCTAAAAGAGCATCTTTTTTAGTTGTAGATGGACACTATACCTTTATTTTATTTTATTTTTATATTTGTTTTTTGGTTGTAGTTGGACACAATACCTTTATTTTATGTATTTATTTTTGTTTGGTGCTGAGGATCGAACCCAGGGCCTCGAACCTGCTAGGCAAGCACTCTACCACTGAGCTATAGCCCCAGCCCAAAAAAGAGCATGTTTTAAAACCTAAGAACAAACATAATATTTGGTGAAGAAGAAAGAATCACAGAACCTCAGAAAATTAGAGATGTAAGGGACTATAAAACTGTTACATTCTGGTAATGTTTTGCAAATGAAAAACACCCCCAGGGAGACGAAATGACTTATCCAAGGTCATTAGCTTGATGAAGGTCTTTTGACCACTAGCCTAGCTTCTGTTACTTGTTACTTTTCTTATAAGTAGAAACAAGCATGTTATCTGTCATGTCTTGTCTTTAACATAATAAAAAACTTGTTCAAAAGGAAAAAAAAAACAAAAAACTTTTGGTTGTTAAAACTTGGTGATGTACTACCAGCAGTTACTGAATAGAGGTAAGGAATGTTGCTAGGCATTCTATAATAAATATAGCAGCCTTTTCCCCACTTCTAAATAAAGAATTATTTGTGACAAAATGACAATACCACAAAGGCTGAGAAACCCTACATATATTACATTGATGATCAGAGAGGATGAGTTTGAGTTTATTATCATAAATATATTCTAACATATATAAAATATAATATGAAATATTATATTTCATGGGGTAAGAGAGATTCTTACTGAATATAAAACCCCAAAGAAAACCTTAGACCACAGTTATATTATTAGCTAAATTATTATAAAAAGAGGGGATAAAGATTTAGATGTACAGAATAAGTTTAAATTTTGTTTAATACTAGTCTATAGTCATGTACAATACTATAAGATATGCAATTAAATACATATGAAAATGATAATTTTATCATAAAATTAAGCTATTCCAAAAATGCTTTCTTATTATCTCAATATTTTCTGTAAATACAATTCTTCAAAATGTGCCTGCCATTTTAAAACTAAATTAAAATACTATACAATAATGTCTTTACCAAAATCTCATAGCAAATTGTTTATGAATATATAACTTTATTTTGGTTTCCCATGCAAGTTATGAATATCCAAATTATATTTACATCCAAATCTTCAGGCCTATTAATTGTTCTGAAGTTATTTAAAAATAAAAATAAAACCATTTAAATAAAATGAATTAAGAGATAATGAGACAGGGTTGTGGCTCAGTGGTAGAGTGCTCACCTATCTCGTGTGAGGCACTGGGTTCAATCCACAGCACTAAATAAAAATAAAATAAAGATATTGTGTCCACCTACAACTAAAAAAATACATGTTTTTTTAAAAGAGATAATGAAATACAAGTGAAAATTAAATTTACACAAGGATTGGAACATATCTTCCTTTTAGAGCAGAAAATAGCTGCTTCTTATTAAATCCTTGCATCTTTACATTTTCAATCAATGAAAAGTCCAAGCAAATTTGCCTTTAATTACTTAACACCAAAGGTATTTTTACATAGTTTAGAGAAGAATCCGGTGAAAGGCAGTATGTGACTATTCTCCTGCTCTCTGATCCAAGGATTTAGTCAGTGCTTAAAGATATACCTCAGTTTATTTAAAAAAATTTAAAATTTGCACCATTGAATGAAAATATAAATATCAATTTATTTCCAAGTTTCAAAGAAAAGTTAAATGCACATCTAAGGGCAAAAGGGGATGGTTTCACAGCAGTGCCAACTCAATTATTAAGTCTTAGTTTCAGGTCTAGTGCTTCCTCTTTCATTTGTGTCAACATCAGCTAAAATTATCTTGTCTAGTCAGTGGATCAAGAGATTCTTTTTGAGGATTATTTGATGAAGACAAAAACTTGGAGTCATCAGGGAAGGAAAGAATGCTCTGTCAGAAAAAAGTAGAGAATCCCTTGTCAGTTTGTACTTATCTGGTTAAACTGCCAGATTACTCTAAAATGAATTGTGGGAAAAGAAAGATGAGCAAGAGATAATCAGAGACTTTTCAGGAATGGCAGATTTTTGTGGAGCTAACAGTATGATCTGCACTCATGGTCAGCAAATCACTTCAGGTGACTTGAAAATATCCTTTCTTCATTTTTAAGGGGAAGGGCATCAGACCACACTTATTTGCATCTTGAACTTTATGATAATACACAAGACAACACACACTGAATACATGTTGCTAGAGACCACATATGACAACTGCAGTTTAGTTGTTGAGCTAGTTGTTATATTAGATGTTGGTTTTAGATTTAATCCAGTCCCGATAATGAGTCACTCTGGTATAAAGTCCAGGTTTGTTTTCTTTTCCACAGTCTATTCCCCAGCTTACTATTCCAATTAGATACCAGATGTTTCTACCCTGTGCAATAACCAGAGGTCCTCCAGAATCACCCTGAAGAAGAAGAAAATATGGTCAATGTGATAAATGAAAGGGTGCCAGAAATGAAAGTCAATTGGCATCTAAAGAAAATCAATAATTTGGACTGAAATATGTGAAACGAATTTTATTATACTTCCCATTACTATTAATACGATAATCTATTTCTTAATGTTTGCTAATGCCTTTTTCTCTGTCTAAATAGGAACCACAACGAGAACTATCTAGATAGGCAATTCTTTCATAAGCAATGACCTAAAAATTCAACTAACATGTCACTTTCTCTATGAAGACACTCCAAACTCTATTAGCTAGGAATATAATCTCTTACTTTTGAATTAGTATCTCACTTTGTTCTAATCACACTAGTTAATAGAAAGGTGTCTGGAATGTTGTATCAAATGTGCACTATTTATTACTGAAAGGATTTTGCTTGAAACTAAGGTGGAATCTCTACCCCTAACGAACCAGTGTAAAGTATCTAAATCATGAGAACTTCTCTGTGTTATCTTTAAACCAGGGTTTAGTCAAAGGATGTTAAGTGTGTCTTTTAGCAATGGACCAGTTCATCCAAAACAATTGTCATATGAAAGTCCACTGTAAATTTCTTAAATAAGAGAAATGATCCTGTTTGAGCAGGCAAGGAGTTCTAGAGTCTTATGTCTTTAGTCCGGTCCCTTCTATTTTCATCCCATTTTTCCCTGGTGCATAGAGTATGAAAATCCTGTTCTACCAGAAAAAAAAACCCCTTGACTCTTAGTTCCCTCAGGCCCACTTCCTAATTTAGGTCCTCGCTATTTTACTGGGCTAATAGTGAAAGAAAGCAAGGCAGAGTGAACTCATGAAAAAAAGAACATCTGTATATACATATACATGTGTATGTTTCTTCTCTAAGTCATAATTGAGTTTTATTTTTGACCACCATGTTGTTTCTCTCTCTTGGGAAGTAAAGTGAGTGTTAATAATACCCTGTATTTTGGTATATTTAGGCAAATTCTGACATCTCTTCCTTTGTTTAAGTTACTTGTGTGCTAGATTGTAAATGCATTATGATTCTTCTAAGGTGTTTGTTTCTTTCAACAACTTCCAAGTGCCTTACAAGTCAAAATTTTTTTGAATGAATAAGTGAAAGAATGTTTATTACCCTCACATGACAGTCAAAAGCAGATCAATAGTGGCATGTTTGCATGTAAGAAATGTGCACATATAACTCAAATTCTCAAAGGGATGTTATTCTTCAAAAAAAATCACTAAATTGTTGTACTCAGTTTCAAATACTGTAGGTAAAATCTTTATTATTTTAGTTATTTGGGTTTAGTCCTTTAAATAACAAATTTTGACATTCTCCTTAAATTATGCTTATTGCCTAAAATTAATGTTTTGTTGGGGAAAATGCTAAGTGCATCTTTTAGTTTTTAGATATGATCAATGAGATAGCACATTATAAGGAATAAATGTACATAAATACATTATTTTTTATTGGTTTCTAAATAATGTAATTCTATCTGGATGTACATTACTTACGGTCAAATATTTAGGTACCAATGAGGTAAAAACTTCATTGGCCACGGAGATATTTGCAGATCTCATCTCACAGCAGCTTGCTTTTAGTAGTGATTAGATACCTAAATCTTGGATATGAACATGCCTTGAAACACTGAATATATGCTTTCTAGATTAGTTTCTACTATCTGTTTGTATTACTTCTCTCTAATCAAAGCTCTACTTTGCAACTGATTACTTTTTATTTTACATGGTCTGTAAAGTATTAAATAAGGTATATGTCTTATGATTCTTTCATCTCTTCTTTTTATACTCTCCTCTCCTCCATAAGTTAATATCATAGAATTGTGTGATGTGACATTGGTCTGTGGTTAGTAAGATCATCTTTATTCAACAGAGTCTTTTTTTTTTGATTTGAGACTATTCTTACCTCACAGGCATCGAGTTTTCCTGTCAAGAATCCAGCACATATCATTCCTGATGATACAGCACCACCATACACCTTAACTTGATTACATATATCATTACTTATGATCTCTACTTCAACTTGTCTCAGTGTATTTGAAAGGGGACCTAAATGAGGAAAAAGGTAAATAGACTATATTTACTCTGAAAACAGCTTGACTTGCTTTTCAGAACAAATACTAGAACAAGTTACTAATTCTAGGACAAGAAATGATCATGTTTTATTAATTAACTACGCATTTGTTAATTCATTATAATATTAAAAGTATTATTTTGTTGCATACATATTGTTTTAGCCATTATATTTTCCTTTCCTACCTAATACCTTCTATTTTAAAATTATATTAATAATTCACATAAAGATAGATCTCTGAAACAGATTCAAAGACAAAGGAGAAGATGAGGGATTCATTTGAGTAGTAATTTGAGCAGTGAGTCAGGGCAATTCTATGCTTAAGAATCCTGGTCTTAGAGTTGGCAGATGTAAGTTTGAACACTATTTGCACAATTTAAGAGCTATGTGACCTTGGAAAAGTTATTAAGGATCTCTGTACTCACCTGTAGACAGGATAAAATGATACCTATCTCATGTTTTTTGTGGGAGTAAAATATGATACATAAAATCAGTTATGGTGGTAACTTACCCACATTCAGTTCTCAATAAATGAAAGTTATTATGATGAATTGAAGATATTAGGGTAATGTAAATAAAATTCTCATGGTCTTGAAGCTGCACTTCAGTGTTAATGATGGATAGTTAGAAAGTTAGAGCTCTTCTAAGAGTTGACCTAGATTTCTGGGGTTTTTGTAAGAAACTTTTGAATACAGAAATCCAATTCTCTGTTTTGAAACTTGCAAGTACACGCTCCTAATATTGACTGGCTTGCTTAAAAATTAAGTTCCATTTCTCTACATTCTTTAAAGATTATCTGGAGTCTAGTGAAATTTTTTACCTCAGTCATTATCTTTAAGCATGGAAGGGTCATTGAACATTTTCTCTTCTCTCCATCTCTGATTTTGCTTGAAATGCTCCTAGAGAGAGAATTTAATCACAAACTGCTCTTTGTACAGTTTTTTACACAGTCTGATCTATTTATTGTGTAAGTGCTTCAGCAATATTTAGTACTATTTTGCTGTCTGTAATGGCATTTAAAAAATTTTAGATATCCCCAGGGTTTAATCAACTGCATTCCAACTAGTAATTTTTGTGTAACAATATTTAGTTTAGCTAATTGTCAACGATGCTAGTTTTAAATTGCAAATGCTTATAATTTTTAAATCTCAACTTTAAAAATTTCAATTAAAGTGCCTAACAATATAAAAAGTTATTCTATATTATCAACTACTCAAGGAAGAAACTATCTAGAAAATAGAAATTTTAGTTTTATAAACTATCTAGTAAGAAGATTTCTATCTAGAAAGACTGAATAATTTTGAGGAGGGAAGAGAAAAAATTGAGTAGTCCATATCAGCTTTAAAATGCAGAAAGAAACCATAATAAAATATGTATATGTATGCAGTTAACGTTAGTCTGTTGTCTTACAAGTTCATAATGTTATATCTGAAAATATGCAACTTATTAGAATAAATAGGTACACTAACCTGCATACTATTGGACTTTAAAGAATTCATAATGAAATATCAAATTACTCCCAAAGTATAACTCTGTATTGATGAGTTACTAATTTTACATGTAAAGAAAGTGTAATGGTGCTACTCAAGTGGTAGATGTTTTCCATTTCTACTGTGACTCAAATGGCTTTAAAACTCAAAGGATTTAATTCCTCTTCCTTCTTATCACATTTCCTATAGAACAATGCAAATGCCTCAGACATGAGGAAAAGAACTCTTCAAGATATGGCAATAGTGTATCAGCCTGGATTGAAGTTTAGAATTGTTAAGTGCATTTGTAAGGAAGTAAGTTTCTATAAAACTCAACTGATAAAAATTTAGTAGATCAAAGCTATGCTGTGAGTAGTACATAAATAAGCAAAATTTATTAATAGCCTAGAATAAGAATCAGTAATCTAAGGGCAGAATAAACCATAGGTAAGAAAACATTCAGCTAAAAAGCACAGGAACTGAAGACTCATCAAGATTTAAAAGATTATTTTTGCAATTTATTGTCTGTCATTAAGTGGAGTAAAATATAAAAATGTAGTTTCAGACTTTAATAATAAAGTAAAATTATGAAGTCTCATACTCAAGAATAGCTGTATAGGTACATGAGTCAGAAGAACCCCATTTAGTACTCTGTGCTGGGTAAAGAACAATTCAGATCCCTTGCTTGGGCTGTTTCTGCTTAGTTGCATGATACTGAAGTTTATCATACCAGTGCTTGCAAATTGTATACTTTAGAAATCATGCAGCCATGGTAGAATCTTTACATATGAAAGATGATAAATAAAGAAAAACATTATGTGAGAAGATATGCTTTGTTCATTTTGAAAAGATGGTTCCAACATGTTTCCAAAATAGTGTGTAAAAATGACAATAAATATAGGTATTGTGTTTTACTAATAGTAATGAAGTTTTCAAAATCCATCATATCTGTTTTAATTGTTTTGATTTTGGTGTATTTGACATGAGGTGTTTTGATATTTTGATTTTATGCTTTATTTCATATATTTATGAAAAAGGAAGCTAGGTCCAAGTTTGTATTTTTTGCTTTGTTGTTTTTACTGAGATACTCACCATTTGCCTTTAATGCTCCCCATCCAGTGACAAACACTTTACTCTTAGGCAAGACTTCAAATGTAGTATTTGGGAGACAGACTCTGTGCACATCTTCAGAAAATAGGACTGGGGTGGAGAGCTTCACCACAGCGATGTCATCATCACGCTTGTGGGCAGCGTAGTTTTCGTGAACAATGATTGACTGCACCTGTCTTCTCATCAGTGGAGGATTCAGGGTTGTTCCAAAACTTGCCGTCCATAGTTTGGGGTTTTTGTAACTGATCATAGATTAAAAGGAGCACAGTGTGTTCACTTATGATATAGTCTAGAGTTGCCCGGACTCTGGATGGCATGGGGCACTAGTGTGAAAAAAGGGCACATTTTTGAATGTAATGGTTGAGTGGAACCTTCTCACCTTCTTATTTGAGGCTTCTCTCCTAGAACAGCTTTACTTTCAACTAGCGGATTATTTCAACAGTCCTCATTCTCAGGTAGCTTAAATTACTCCCTGAGCAAGAGTTTGAGGGGAGTTTGTATTTTTTAAAGGAAAAAACATATTTTGCCATTTTGATTATGAAATAATACTGATTAATTGAAGAAAATATAAATAAATAAATAGGAGACATATTTGCCTACATATTTTCACATACACAAACAAGTACTCATGTATCCTTGTATAGCTATATAAATATATACATAGCTATGGAGAGAAAGACAAAGGGGGAAAAAACTGAGTCGGGCTGAGAAAGATATCTTAGAGATATATATGTTATGTATTGTTTTCTCTTGCTCCCTTTCTATTTAGCATTTTAACCAGAATATGATCCCATTTATGTGAGTTTCACTATGGTTACTGTATATCTTCATTATCTCCAATGGTCTCAGATGTTAAAACTTGAAAAAGCATACATGGGTAAAAGTACAGCACTAAAGATGTTAATTTGGAAGGTAGGCGGACCTGCGACCCACCGGCAGAACAGGCCCAGCGACCTGCCAGCATGGTAGACACATCGCCCCGTTTGGGGGAGGGGCAGAGCTGCCACACGCGCCTGCAAGGTAGGCGGACCTGCTACCGACCGGCAGAACAGGCCCAGCGGCCAGCCAGCATGGTAGGCACATTGCCCCAATTGGAGGAGGGGCAGAGCCACTGCCCGCGCCTGCGAGGGAGACTTTGCAACCATACGAGAGCAATATAAATATATAGGGGGAAAATTCAATAACACAACAGTTTCACCAAGCAGAAAGAAACGCGAACAGTATGAAAAGACAAGGAAAGAAAGGACCACAAGCAATGCAGTTCAACTCAACGTTAGAAGAGGTAATATCTGCAGCAGATGGAATGTCAGATAAAGAATTCAGGATATACATGCTTCAGATGATCTGGAGTCTCAAGGAAGACATTAGACAGCCAAATCAGACAATGAAAGATCACTTCGACAATGAATTACATAAACAAATCCAAGAAGCAAAAGATCAACTATACAGGGAGATAGAGGTTATAAAAAACAAACAAACAGAAATCCTAGAAATGCAGGAAGCAATAAACCAACTTAAAAACTCAATTGAGAATACTACCAGCAGAGTAGAACACTTAGAAGACAGAACATCAGACAATGAAGACAAACTATTTCAACTTGAAAAGAACATAGACAGCTCAGCAAGACTGTTAAGAAACCTTGAGCAGAACATCCAAGAAATAAGGGATAACATAAAGAGACCAAACTTAAGAGTCATTGGGATACAGGAAGGTACAGAGGTCCAAACCAAAGGAATGAGCAATCTATTCAATGAAATAATATGAGAAAACTTCCCAGACTTGAAGAATGAGACAGAATCCCAAATCCTAGAAGCCTACAGGACGCCGAATGTGCAAAATCATAAGAGATCCACACCTAGACACATTATAATGAAGATGCCCAACATACAGAATAAGGAGAGAATTTTAAAAGCTACAAGAGAAAGGAAGCAGATTACATTTAGGGATAAGCCAATCAGGATAACAGCTGATCTTTCAACACAGACTCTGAAAGCTAGAAGATCCTGGAATAACATATTTCAAACACTGAAAGAAAATGGGTTCCAACCAAGAATTGTGTATCCAGCGAAATTAAGCTTCAGGATGGAAGATGAAATTAAAACCTTCCACGATAAACAAAAGTTTAAAGAATTCGCAGCTAGAAAACCATCTCTTCAAAACATCCTCGCCAAAACATTACAGGAAGAGGAAATGGAAAATAACAATGAAAACCAACAGTGGGAGGTAGGACAGTAAAGGGGGGAAAAATAATCAAAGAGGAAAACAAGCCATGTTTAGTAACAGAAATAAACAAATATGGCTGGAAGAACAACCCATATCTCAATAATAACCCTAAATGTTAATGGCTTAAACTCACCAATTAAGAGACACAGGCTAGTAGAATGGATCACAAAACAAGACCCAACAATATGCTGCCTACAGGAGACACATTTGATAGGAAAAGACATACATAGACTGAAGGTGAAAGGTTGGGAAAAATCATATCACTCATATGGACTTCGGAAACAAGCAGGAGTGTCCATACTCATATCAAATAAAATAGATTTCAAGCCAAAGTTAATCAAAAGGGTTAAAGAGGGACACTACATACTGCTTAAGGGAACCATACACCAACAAGACATAACAATCATAAATATTTATGCCCCAAACAATGGTGCAGCTATGTTCGTCAAACAAACTCTTCTCAACTTCAAGAGTCTAATAGACCACCATACCATAATCATGGGAGACTTCAACACACCTCTCTCGCCACTGGACTGATCTTCCAAACAAAAGTTGAATAAGGAAACTATAGAACTCAATAACACAATTAATAACCTAGACTTAATTGACATATATAGAATATACCACCCAACATCAAGCAGTTACACGTTTTTCTCAGCAGCACATGGATCCTTCTCAAAAATAGATCATATATTATGTCACAGGGCAACTCTTAGACAATATAAAGGAGTAGAGATAATACCATGCATCTTATCTGATCATAATGGAATGAAACTGAAAATCAATGATAAAAGAAGGAAGGAAAAATCATGCATCACTTGGAGAATGAACAATAGGTTACTGAATGATCAATGGGTTATAGAAGACATCAAGGAGGAAATTAAAAAATTCTTAGAGATAAATGAAAACACAGACACAACATATCGGAATCTATGGGACACATTGAAAGCAGTTCTAAGAGGAAAATTCATTGCTTGGAGTTCATTCCTTAAAAAAAAGAAAAAAAACCAACAAATAAATGATCTCATATTTCATCTCAAAATCCTAGAAAAAGAAGAGCAAAACAACAGCAAAAGAAGTAGAAGGCAAGAAATAATTAAAATCAGAGCTGAAATTAATGAAATCAAAACAAAAGAAACAATTGAAAAAATTGACAAAACTAAAAGTTGGTTCTTTGAAAAAATAAATAAAATCGACAGACCTTTAGCCATGCTAATGAAGAGAAGAAGAGAGAGAACTCAAATTACTAGCATACGGGATGAAAAAGGCAATATCACAACAGACACTTCAGAAATACAGAAGATAATCAGAAATTATTTTGAATCCTTATACTCCAATAAAATAGAAGATAGTGAAGGCATAGATAAATTTCTTAAGTCATATGATCTGCCCAGATTGAGTCAGGAGGATATAGACAACCTAAAGAGAACAATATCAATTGAGGAAATAGAAGAAACCATCAAAAGACTACCAACTAAGAAAAGCCCAAGACTGGATGGGTATACAGCAGAGTTTTACAAAACCTTTAAAGAGGAACTAATACCAATACTTTTCAAGCTATGTTAGGAAATAGAAAAAGAGGGAGAACTTCCAAATTCATTCTACGAGGCCAACATCACCCCAATTCCTAAACCAGACAAAGACACTTCAAAGAAAGAAAACTACAGACCAATATCTCTAATGAACCTAGATGCAAAAATCCTCAATAATATTCTGCGAATCGGATACAAAAACATATCAAAAAAATTGTGCACCATGATCAAGTAGGATTCATCCCTGGGATGCAAGGCTGGTTCAATATACGGAAATCAATAAATGTTATTCACCACATCAATAGACTTAAAAATAAGAACCATATGATCATCTCAATAGACGCAGAAAAAGCATTCGAAAAAGTACAGCATCCCTTTATGTTCAAAACTCTAGAAAAATCTAGGGATAACAGGAACATACCTCAAAATTGTAAAAGCAATCTATGCTAAGCCTCAGGCTAGCATCATTCTGAATGGAGAAAAATTGAAGGCATTCCTCTAAAATCTGGAACAAGACAGGGATGCCCTCTCTCACCACTTCTGTTCAACATAGTTCTCGAAACACTGGCCAGAGCAATTAGACAGACGAAAGAAATTAAAGGCATAAAAATAGGAAAAGAAGAACTTAAATTATCACTATTTGCAGATGACATGATTCTATACCTAGCAGACCCAAAAGGGTCTACAAAGAAACTATTAGAGCTAATAAATGAATTCAGCAAAGTGGCAGGATATAAAATCAACACACATAAATCAAAGGCATTCCTGTATATCAGTGACAAATCCTCTGAAATGGAAATGAGGACAACCACTCCATTCACAATATCCTCAAAAAAAATAAAATACTTGGGAATCAACCTAACAAAAGAGGTGAAAGACTTATACAATGAAAACTACAGAACCCTAAAGAGAGAAATAGAAGAAGATCTTAGAAGATGGAAAAATATACCCTGTTCATGGATAGGCAGAACTAACATCATCAAAATGGCGATATTTCCAAAAGTTCTCTATAGGTTTAATGCAATGCCAATCAAAATCCCAACGGCATTTCTTGTAGAAATAGATAAAGCAATTATTAAATTCATATGGAAAAATAAAAGACCCAGAATAGCAAAAACAACTCTAAGCAGGAAGTGTGAATCAGGCGGTATAGCAATACCAGACCTCAAACTATACTACAGAGCAATAGTAACAAAAACAGCATGGTACTGGTACCAAAACAGGCAGGTGGACCAATGGTACAGAATAGAGGACACAGAAACCAATCCACAAAACTACAACTATCTTATATTTGATAAAGGGGCTAAAAGCATGAAATGGAGGAAGGATAGCATCTTCAACAAATGGTGCTGGGAAAACTGGAAATCCATATGCAACAAAATGAAACTGAATCCCTTTCTCTCGCCATGCACAAAAGTTAACTCAAAATGGATCAAGGAGCTTGATATCAAATTAGACAGGGCATCCAATACAAGAAAAAGTTGGCAACGATCTACATACTGTAGGATCGGGCTCCAAATTCCTGAATAGGACACCCATAGTACAAGATTTAATAACTAGAATCAACAAAGGGACGTACTCAAACTAAAAAGTTTTTTCTCAGCAAAAGAAACAATAAGAGAGGTAAATATGGAACCTACATCCTGGGAACAAATCTTTACTCCTCACACTTCAGATAGCGCCCAAATATCCAGAGTATACAAAGAACTCAAAAAATTAAACAATAAGAAAACAAATAACCCAATCAACAAATGGGCCAAGGACCTGAACAGACACTTCTCAGAGGAGGACATACAATCAATCAACAAGTACATGAAAAAATGCTCACCATCTCTAGCAGTCAGAGAAATGCAAATCAAAACCACCCTAAGATACCATCTCACTCCAGTAAGATTGGCAGCCATTATGAAGTCAAACAACAACAAGTGCTGGCGAGGATGTCGGGAAAAGGGTACACTTATACATTGCTGGTGGGACTGCAAATTGGTACAGTCAATTTGGAAAGCAGTATGGAGATTTCTTGGAAAGCTGGGAATGGAACCACCATTTGACCCAGCTATTCCCCTTCTCGTTCTATTCCCTAAACACCTAAAAAGAGCATGCTACAGGGACACTGCTACATCGATGTTCATAGCAGCACAATTCACAATAGCAAGACTGTGGAACCAACCTAGATGCCCTTCAATAGACGAATGGATAAAAAAAAATGTGGCATTTATACACAATGGAGTATTACTCTGCATTAAAAAATGACAAAATCATAGAATTTGCAGGGAAATGGATGGCATTAGAACAGATTATGCTAAGTGAAGCTAGCCAATCCCTAAAAAACAAATGCCAAATGTTTTCTTTGATATAAGGAGAGTAACTAAGAACAGAGTTGGGAGGAAGAGCATGAGAAGAAGATTAATATTAAACAGGGGTGAGAGGTGGGAGGGAAAAGGAAAGAGAAGGGAAATTGCATGGAAATGGAAGGAGACCCTCATGGTTATACAAAATTACATACAAGAGGAAGTGAGGGGAAAGGGGGAAAAAAAAACAAGGGGGAGAAATGAATTACAGTAGATGGGGTAGAGAGAGAAGATGGGAGGGGAGGGGATGGGGGATAGTAGAGGATAGGAAAGGCAGCAGAATACAACAGAGACTAGTATGGCAATATGTAAATCAGTGGATGTGTAACTGGTGTGATTCTGCAATCTGTATACGGGGTAAATATGGGAGTTCATAATCCACTTGAATCAAAGTGTGAAATATGATATATCAAGAACTATGTAATGTTTTGAACAACCAACAATAAAAATTAAAGGAAAAAAATAAATTAAAAAAATAAAGATGTTCTTTTGGGTTAATCAGATATAAATAGTATTAACAGAGCTTTAAAATATCTATAGTATATCTCAGGAAAACTAGTGAAAGTGTTTAATTTTTTCCAGTGTTGGCTTGTTTCTTGTTAAAATTGAGATCACTAGAGAATGTATTTTTGGATGGAGCTGAAGATTGTCTATAAATTTTCTGCTACTCCTTAGTAATCGCCACTCTTTGCAAGCCTGTGGGCAATCATAAGTGCCATTGGGAGGTTCTGGGTGTTCATGAAGGAAATGAAAAGAAGATAAGAATTATTGTCTTTGGAAATGAGAAAAAGAGCTGAACTTGGCCATCCTGTGGTATGGATTGAGGACTTACAGTTCAAAACAGTGAGCAGCTGTCAGTAGCCACTCTTCGCTGATCAAAGATGCTCCGCAGAAATGGCCCCCATCTATCTGCAGGCTGGCTTGCCATGGCCAGTCAGCTTTATTTGCTACTTGGCCATTAGCAATTCTTTCCATGGGTGGGTACTCCTTCCCTAAACCACAACCTGTCAGAAGGAAAAAGATGTTTAATTCCAGAGTTATAGACGTGTCTAGGTATGTTTGGTACATAATTAAAGTTAGAAACATTTTTAGATGGGACTTTCCTTAAAAATTTCATTGACATTAACATTACATATAATAATAACTATTTACATTGAAAGTGGGATGTTCCTATTTTGAATAATTAATAACATTTTAATAATTACTTAATACCAGATTTTATGTTTTTAAAGCAATTTCCTTTACAATTTTTTTTCATATTTTCCTGGATCATGTTCTCAATGTGTAACAATTTATCTCAGTGATATTGAATATATTTGAGTGTTATTTATTGCAGAAAAACAATTGTGCTCTTGAAATACTTTAAAATACACTACTATAGCATAAATTTAAGCTTCTATATTAAAGTTGGTGGATATAATTTAACGTTAAGAAAAAAATTCTACTCTAAGAAAGGGAGCCAAATAAAAATAAATATGAAAAAATACAAGAAAATTGGGGCTGGGGTTGTAGCTCAGCAATAGAGTGCTTGCCTTGCACGTGTGAGACACTGGGTTCGATCCTCAACACCACATAAAAATAAATAAACAAAAAAAAAAGAATAAAAAAAGAAAGGTTGAAAATATATTATTAAAAAAAGAAAAAAATACAAGGAAATTGTTAAAGAAGTCATCAGTGAAATTTTCTTGGGAGAAGAGAAAATATTGTCAAAGAACAATTCCCAAACTATTAGTAGTAATTGTTTCCCTTGAATATAATCAAATTACATAACAATTTAGAGATAATATATGCATTTGAGAAACTGTAAACATGGAAATACAGAAAGGCTAAGAATGTTGTGCTTTATTCTTTGATTTATAAAAATCTCCATGATATTTTTGAACTTACAACTGTTCAGAATATGTTCTGCTTGTGCTCCATTCATTTCTGGAAAAAAAAACAAATTCATTGCTTGGTGATGGAACTGTTTTAATTTAAAACACTATGCATACTTAACATGATTTTTGCTGACTGGGAAGAACTGCATTAGTCAGGAAATTCTTAATTTAAATTTAGTAGAATAAAATTCTACCCAAACAAGTGACCTACATGTAAATTAAATTCTTCTGACACATGTGGACTCTAGGAACATCCTGGCTCATGAATATAAAATCATGGGCATAGAGTAGGATATTGTTTTTCATGAAGGAGAATTCCATTGACTTAATTAACACCATACTAATTTATAAAAACAGAAGTTAAACAAGGTGTAAGACCAATGTCCCATGCTTACTCTTATATATCTAGAGACCATTTCTTTCTATCTTCATTTGCATGGTTGGGTTATAGTGAAGCTATTTAAGGCATCCTTGAAGCCTGATATCTAAGTTTGGTCCAAAGAAGCAAAATAAAGGTATTGTGTGCTCCCTATGGAATCCAAATCCACCAGTATACTAATAAATCCTCAAAACATGTTACCTTGTTAGTCTTATTGTTCATAAACTAAAACAGAGAAAGAATACAATCTGTGACTGTTTCCCCAAGTTACTTTTATTGTTCCTTATGCCGCCCAGTATAATGAGAATTCAGACCCATACTGTGTTAAGATGAAAGCTGGGCTAGACTTTTGGTAAGCCTGCAAAGGAATAAGTCTTTAATATAGGTCAGACTCTAAAGAGGAACATTAAGATCATCTGAAAGTACTATGCTTAGGGAGTTTGAGTAAATCTTGGAGTTAGATTTTGCCAACAATAGTAACAATTCCCTAATGGCTTCCCTAGCCTTTAGAATAAACACAGCCTTCCTTCCTAGACTATGTGACATGGTCACCATTTATGTTCTTGATGTCATTCTGAATAGCTCTTGCTCTGAGCCATTACTCAGTGGCCACCTTGGCATTTCTGTTTCTTGACTGTGTGGAGGTTGTCATTACCTTCAGTTTTTCTTCATGATGACCCCTTCATCAGAAATGTTTTCCCTTGGTCTTTTTATGGTTGTCAATCATATTACAACTTAAAAATCCCTCAGAGAGACTTTCCATGACAACCAAATCTAACATAGTCTCCTATTTTCTGCTCTCTGCATGGGGTTTCAGTGTTTGATATTACCTTGTTTATTTAATTACTTTTTTGGTCATTATCTTTCTTACTGCAATTAGAATATTAGTTGTATGAGGACAGAGACTTCTGTTCCTGTATCAAATAGACTTCCAATACATACTTGCTAAGTGAAAAAATGAACAATAATAACAACTACTAATTTACTGAGCCCTATGCACTAGAGCGGTGGGGTTATGGTTAGTTCACAAATAATTTTAATTTAACCCTAAATTCATTGCTGTGCATTCAGAAATTTTTGATCAACTTCTATGAAAGGGCTATATCTTATGTATGAACATTATATAGTAGATGTACACCTCTTTCAGAATGAAAAATTGAACAGCTTCAGTTCTAGAATAAGATTGTATAAACCAACTTTTCCCTACTTTTCTATAAATATAATTGCCATTGGCATTCTATATTTGTGGGTTGTGTATCTGTAAATTCAACCAACTTTGGATCAAAAATATTTGAAAAAGTTGTATATTACAACATATACGTTGTTTCCTGTCATCCTTACCTAAATAATACAGTATAACAAGTATTTGCACAGTATTTGCTGTGTATTAGGTATTATAAGTAATCTAGATATGAGTTAAAATACATTTGAGGATTGGGTAGGTTATATGCAAACACTAAGCCACTTTATGTAAGGGAATTGCTACTGAGAGACAACTATATTCTGAAAATTCTTTGTTAGATAGCAATAAGCTAGAAACACAAAGTATAGTTAAAGTCTTCAAAATTTGAGGAAGGACAAATGGTGGAATTTTTTGGTTTTCTTTTTGTTTTAAATATAGCCTAGACTGGGGACCAGAAAGGCCTACAATCTGTCATTATTAACAAGCATAGATAAAATATCCCGAGAGTACTCTATTCTCTCTATCCAAAATAATGGGAAGAGGTAAAGACAACAGAGATCTTACGTTACAATTTAAGCCTGGTAGTTAATTCTTCTAGAAACAGTAATCAAAACCTTCACCATTCCAATCCTATGTTAAAACCAAGCCACTGGCAGGCAAACTGAAGTACCCACAGAGACAGTGTCAGCAGATACCTGCATCCACCCACTGGTGTAAGGAAACTCAAGCCCAGTTCAGCCTCCATAGAGGGAAGCCTACTGATTCAGGTAGCCAAGAAAAGCATATTCTACTCTCACAGATGGCACTGACAACAGTGATTGAGAGGAAGCCCCAGCATAACAGGGTAGCCCTGCAAAGATCTGAAAACTGAACTGTCATTGAAATAACAAAAGTAAGAAAGAATCTATACTCCTCACCTAAGTACATTGACTGGTAAAATGGAAGAATTAAATAGGATTAAGGGTCTCCTAAAATAATAATTAAAATATTCAGGATATAAAAAATTTACTTTCCATACCCTAAAACAGAAAAAGGATAATGTGAATAAGATAACTACCAATGCTAATTTTGAGTCAAATAAGATGTTAGAAGTATATGATATGGATTTTAAAGAACTGCTAAAAATTCATTCAGAAATCAAGTATAAATTATCTTGAAACAAATGAAAATAGAAACTATCAACAAAGCAATACAAGTAATAAATAACCATGAAAAATTATAGGACTGAGAAATATAATAACCATGATAATAATACTGATAACAACAATAACAGTAATAACCAGTTTGGTGGATTATGCCAACAGTATAGGGAAAATGATAGAGACTAGAATCAGTGAACCTGAAATCAAGTCAGTAGAATGTACTCAGTGTGAAGAGCAGAGCAAAAATAAATCAGAGTGAAATGAACAAAACTTCTGGGATAGGTGGGATAATAATTAAAAAATCTAGGAGTTATGTAATCAGATAACTAGAAAAAGTGGAGGAAGAATATGGGACTTAAATAGTAATTTTTAAAAAATGGTTGAAAATTCTTCAAATTTGGTGAAATACAGAGCTTTACAGATTCAAGAAGATGAGAAAATGCCAAAGAGGATAAATTCAAAGAAATTTACCTCATTATCCATTATAATTAAATTACTAAAAACTAAAGACAAAGAAAAAATTCTTAAAAACAGAAATATGATACATTATCTATGAAGGTACATTATATTAAGTGACAGTGGTTTTCTCATCTGAAGTCATGGAAGCCAAAATTATTGCATAGTATTTTTCAAGTTCTGAAAAGAAATAACTATCAACCCTAAGTTGTATATCACGTGAAAATATCCTTAAAGAATGGAGAGGAAATAAATATATTCCTAGATGAGCAAACAGAAACTGAAGTAATATGTTTCTAACAGATCTATCTTAAATATGGCTAAGAAAACTGTCCAAACAGAAAAGCAAATTATAACCAAAGAGGGTTAAAACTTTCAGAAAGGAAAGGCACAGAATGAATAAATGTACAAATAAACATAGAAGACTATTTTTTACTTCATGAATTTCTTTAAACATATTTTATGGTTCAAACAAAACACAACTGATGTTGTGTTGGATGTATGGTGACGAAATACTTCGGAAAAGTATATTTAAAAAGTGGAGAGAGTAAAGATACCCAAATGGAAGTGAAGTTTTTACATTTAATTTGAAGTGGTACAATGTTGATACTTATAGGCTGTGTTAGTTACATGTGTATGTGATGACACTTGCAGCAGTCTATAAGTAAATCAAAATGAAACTGCAAAAAAAAAAATGTTCCAGTTACCCATAGGGAAGCAAAAAGTGAGGAACTCTGGAGCAAGATACTGTACAAGCAGAAAACAAATGATGAAGTGAAAGATTTAAGCCTTAACATATCCATAGTCATTTTAATATGTAAATAGTTTAAACACTACAATTAAGAGACAGATTGGAAGAAAGGAATTGAAAAATATGACTCAACTCTGTGCTATCTACAAGAAACTCATTTCAGACATATCTACATATCTGAATGTGAAAAGAAAGAAAACAGTATAACAATAATCCATAAAAAGCAGGAATAACTATATTGATATTAGATTTTGATATTGATATTAGATTTTGATTTTGCTATTGATATTGATATTTCTTTGCTCTGAACTTCAGAACAAAGAAATTACGAGGGACAAATAGGGAACTTATATAACAATGGAAGGATAAATATACCAAGAATATGTAGCAATCTATGTTTGTAAATTACACAACACAATTTCTAAATAAATGAAGCAAAAGCTGAAAGAGATGAAAAGAAATATAGAAAAATCCACAATTATAGATAGGAACTTCATTATACCCCAATTTCAATAATTAATTATTACACAGAAAATTTGCAAGGATATAGAACTAATGACATTAGCAATCAATAATATCTAATAGAACTTAAAAATACTTTGCACAACAATAGCAAGAATATACTCAAAACACTCATGGGAATATTCTTCTAGTAGACATATCCTGAGTCATAGTCCTCAACATACTTGAAAGTACTGAACAGATCATCTACTCTGTCCATAATGGAGTCAAACTGAGAATCAAAACCATAAAAATAATCGGAAAATCTCCAAATGCTTGGAAATTAAAATACACTACAAAATAGATCATTGGTCCAACAAGAAATCTCAAAGAAAATAAAAATTACAGGGAACAGAATGAATCTGAAAATAAAGCATGCCAATTATTGTTGGATGCAGATAAAACAGTTTGGAGAGAGAAATTTATAACACTTAATGTTTTATACATTATAAATGAATACTGATATTAATATTCTAAATTCCTATTTCAAAAAACTAGCAACATAAAAGAATAGACCTAAAGTAAAGAAGAGAAAGGAAATAATAAAGATAAAAAGCAATCCAGATAAAAATCTTAATGAAACTGAAAACAGAAAAAATAGAGAAAAAAATCATGACACACAGAAAACATGTTACAAAAAATTCAAGAAAATCTATAAACCTCTGGGAAAAATGACAAAGAAATAGAGAAGATTGAAATCACCAATATCAAGAGTAAAATGAGGGGATATGATAAAAGAGCTTAATGAGAAAATAATATTCATTATTAATTAAGAAATACTACAAGTAACTTCATAAGTTAGATAGCTTAGAAGTCCAGATGAACAAATTGCTTTAAAATCACAAACTGTCAATCCCAGCAGTTTGGGAGGCTGAGGCAGGAGGATCAAGAGTTCAAAGCCAGACTCAGCAATGGTGAGGCACTAAGCAAGTGAGACTCTGTCTCTAAATAAAATTACAAAATAGGGCTGGGGATGTGGCTCAGTGATGGAGTGCCCCTGAGTTCTAACCCCAGTACTAAATAAATAAATAAATAAATAAAAATCACAAACTATTAAAACTTGCAAAGATGGTATAGATAAACTTAATATTGCTACTAGTAAAGAAATTGCATTTGTAATAAAAAGAATCTTAAGGTCCACTTTCACAGGAGAATTTTTACAACAGTATTCAAAGAAGAAATTTTTTTCCGAGCTCATTTGGGAAGCCCAGTATTACTCTGATACCAAAATCAGACAAACAGGAAAAAAATTTACCTTTGCTCCTGAATTTAGATAAAAAATTCTCACAAAAAATTTAGCATATACATGCAGTGTTACAGATTTCTCTACGTATACAAGGGAAAGGGTGCAAGGGAATGAGGTTTTCCTGTAAATTTGTAACTTCGTGTGAATCCATAATTATTTCCAAATAAAACTTTAAGAAATTAAGCATAGTAGTAGAAAGTCTGAATTATTTTCCTACTCTTTTTATAGAAAATGTTCCCAAAGTATTGTCATTTGAAGGGGAAATTCAAGCGTATGCGGTCAAAAAAAGAAAAAAGTAAGAAAAAAGTAAGGGGAAAATGGTAAAATATTACTGAGACATACATACATCTGAAAAGAGAATTTTTTTTCTTGATAGTTAGTATGTAATTTAGAATATTAGTTTTAATTTTTTGATTTGTTACGATTTCTTTCAGTTCTACTAAATATTCATTTTCCTACCTAACAAAATTTAAATAAATAGTGGATGAAGTATCCAATCCAACTGAAAAATAGCACTATTTTTGTTTGAAATAGAACCACAAAATGAGACAAATGAAATATTAAAGATTAATGTTTTTAGTTAACCTACTCTAATGTTAAAGCTGCTATAAATATGGTAAATACAAAATTTAGAAGGTAAAAGTGTCAGTGACTGAAAACTGCAAATAGCAGTATTATTGTAAAAACTTAAAAACTTTTAGATTATGGTATTTTGAATAAAAGTAATACCAAATATTATTTTATATTTAGATTTTTGATGTTTGTATCTGAAGTGATTCTGATAGATTTAGAGGAAGAGCTTAAACATTATATGACATAGAACAAACATAGTTGACATAAAATGAAGTTTTTATGACCACTATCTCCATACAATCTATTTTTCTTTTGATTATGGTGTAAACTAGAAACTTCTGTAAAAATATAGTCATTTTTAAAAGCAACCCCAAAATTACCACTTCTCGCTTTTCCTAAAATGAATTCTATGTGTTTTTTTCTAATATATTATGTGCACTTGAATGATGAAAAGAAATGAATATATATTTTAGGATCAATAAAATAATTATCCAAAAATTTCATGAAAGATTATAAAAAACAAAAGCAACAACTCAAAATACAGATTTAAAAAATAATTAACAATTTTGGCTGATTTGCTCTTTAACTAATTGTTTTCTCTTTTTTGTTGATCTTCTTTTTAACTTAGTCACTTGGAACCACTGGGGTGAATTGTAACTTCTACAAAATGAAAATAAATGTTCACATATAATAAATGTTAAAATAAAGTCTTAACTTTATTTTAAAGTTAAAATTAATTATGTTTAATCTGCAGTGTTTCTTCAAAGATACAGACAACTGTTTCTGTAATCTACGTTATATTACCTCAGAAAACTAAACTCAAACTGACCCTCATTCTTTATTATAATCTTATAAAAACATTTTAAATGATTTAGCTTAATACATTTATATATTGTTTCTTTGTGTTGAGCTTTGTATCCAGATAACTCTTATAATATCCATTTGTGGGCCCATGTATGTGTTTTATCTCTTCACTTATCTTTCAAAGACAAGTTAATCAGTTCTCTAACTTCCCAGAATCAAGATTGTTAAAAATAGATACATGAGAAAATATGTAAACAATATATTAAATCAATTTATTTGTCTTTAGAACCTTTCTGAGTTTTTTTTTTTTACACCTTCTTAAAGAATTAGTTCCATAGTTATTAATGATCTTCATTTTGTAAAGCAGACACTGAGACATGATGTTTCATCAACTTCTCTTAACTAACCTACTATTGATTTACTGTGGGGATACAGGTCTTCTGAGTTTTGATCTAGGGTATTTTCCTCCATCACTCAGTCTCTCCTACAGTACATTTCATGCATTTGTTTCTCTATACTATATGCAGTAGGCCCTTCACACCTGCAGGTTTCACTTCTGAAGATTCAAGTAATGGAAAATAAAAAATACGCAGAAAAAAATTTGTGTCTGTACTGAACACATACAGACTTTTTTCTTGTCATTATTCCCTAGAAAATACAGTATGACAATTATTTATATACCATTTATAGGGTATTAGGTATTATAAGCAACCTAGAAATAATTTAAACCATAGGGAACATTATGCATAGGTTATATGCAAATACTACTGTATTTTATATAAGGGACTAAAGCATTTCCAGATTTTGGTATCTGGGGTCTGTGGAGGGTACTGGAACCAATCTCCCAAGAATACCAAGGAATGAAATATATTTAAATGTATTTACTTAATAAAACTCAAGTTTGTGTAAAAAAATATTAAAGTATAAATATCTCACTTGTTTTTTTTAATACATTTCTAAGACTGTGGAAAAAGGAATGATTTCAGATTACTCATGTTCTTTACATTACTAATTTTAAAAGACTCCTTTTTTTTCTTGCCCACTTTCAAGGGACTGTGTTAATTTACAGAGTTAAAAATCAAACATTTTACAAATACTGAGTTCGTACCCTATGTGGAGTGTTATTCTAATTTTGGGATGGTCTTATGACTACAGAAGTCACAGTTCCTACGTTCAAGGAATTATAGGCTTTTGCAAAGAGATGAAACAAAAACATGCAATCCAAATTGCCAAGCATCCTTGTGAAGCATAGAAGTATTAGGAAGAATTATCACTCTGAGGGGCTTTTGATGGGAATGGGGATGTCTAACAACTTGTTTAGATAGGCAACTGAGGATATGGCAGTAAAGAGATCAGCAGATGCCTGCATGAACCAATAACTGCGACCTAAACCCCCCAACCCTCATCCAGCAACATTGTGAAGGGCGTAGATTCCCATAATATCCTAGGGGTGGGAGTAGATTCAGAAATGAGGAATTTATGTTTCTAACATTTGACTTAACAGGAGCTCAACATCAAAATTAAAGTTCTTAAAAGTAAAGTTACTTTTTCACACATATCTGCATCTTCTCAACAAAATCTTTCCTTGAGGAAGTCTTATCTCTGCTGTCTAAAGTTCAGTGCATAGATTGAGAGTCCACTATGTTTTAGCTGCATGACTAATAGAACTAGATGTTGGGCATTACAGAGACCTCAAGTTCTTATCTTCAAGATATTTTTTTCTTCATTCTGACTTTGGCCAAATATGTAATGTAATTTTCTCCCTTATTAACGTAAAGGCTCTAACCCTCTGAAGCCTTTTCGGGGGAAAAAGTACAGAAGGAAGATTTATTGGTAGCTTGTAATTTTCTATCAGACTTCCAATCTTGTTTTATAACTTAAATAAGTTCTGGTAAAATATGACAACTTTGAAGATAATTCATAGGCTAGCAACCATCTGCAAATTATAATGAACTTTGTTGAATCTCATACCCCAAACATTTATCAACCAGCTTTTTATGTCTGTGTCTAAAGTGAGATAGCGTATTTATGCTTGAGACAGGGCCTATCAGTGTCTGGCATCTCTTTTCTCCTGCCAACTCCATGTCCTGACCTAATCCTATCCTGTGTGATATAGGAAGAATGTGATAGGGTAATCTAAAATCATCTGTTTTTTTTTTCTACTTGAGCCTATATCATGTTCATTTTCCATATATTGTAGTTCATGTGTCTACATCACTCTTAAATTATGGATTCAGATTAGAGAAAGCATTGGAAAATAGCCAGTCTTAACAGATTACTGTATCAAAAGCAGAATGTAGGTTTGTACCCCATGCATCCTTACTCCAAAGAATTTCACTAACATTAGTTAAAAGGGAATAAGTACCATTGTATCATCACACAATTCTTTTTTGTATTTATTTCCAGACTAGAAGAAGGAAGATAATCTTTGGTGTTGTGTGGAGATTTCTTTATTATCAAGTCACTAAGATCCTTAAATGAAAGTGGTTTCATTTTATGATGAAATAAAGATAATTTCTGTTAATGAGCAGATTGTTAAAATCATTAACCATCATAAGAGAAGAAAAAAAGCAGTATTTCTTGCCTCTAAGATAAGGTAATGAAGGGTCTTTCTTCAAGAAGCTCTCATTTGAGTTCAACATCCTGTGTAAAATGTCATCAGCCTGCCTTTTTATAGTGTTTGCACTGTTAGAAGTAAACTGAAATTTAAGCAGTACATCCACTTTCAAACCCTTATCACTTGGCCTGAAAAACAAAGACACCAGAATGAGTGAGGTCATAGTCATAGTAATTATTATGTCCTACATTTATACTTAAATATCTTTAAGAAAGTACAACATAAATATTCTAGGCATTTTATTGTTGTGATTTTTCTACTTTCTATATTAAACAGATATCAATTCCTGTATTGTTCCTTGCTTAGAAAACTTGATGACATTCAGGGAGAGGAGAGTTTCTAAAACTTCTAAAATTTTTCCTGGTAAATAAATAAAAAATGCTTTCCAAATTGGCTGCACCAATTTGGAGTCCCACCAGCAATGTACAAGAGTACCCTTTTCTGAAGTGTGAGGAGTAAAAATTTGTTCCCATGATGTAGGCTCCCTATTTACCTCTCTTTTTTCCATTTATTTATTTATTTTTCCTTTAATTTTTATCATTGGTTGTTCAAAACATTACATAGTTCTTGACATATCATATTTCACACTTTGATTCAAGTGGGTTATGAACTCCCATTTTTACCCTGTATACAGATTGCAGCATCACATCGGTTGCACATCCACTGATTTACATATTGCCATACTAGTCTCTGTTGTATTCTGCTGCCTTTCCTATCCTCTACTATCCCCCATCCCCTCCCCTCCCATCTTCTCTCTCTACCCCATCTACTGTAATTCATTTTTCCCCCTTGTTTTTTTCCCCTTTCCCCTCACTTCCTCTTGTATGTAATTTTGTATAACCATGAGGGTCTCCTTGCATTTCCATGCAATTTCCCTTCTCTTTCCTTTTCCCTCCCACCTCTCACCCCTGTTTAATGTTAATCTTCTTCTCATGCTCTTCCTCCCAACTCTGTTCTTAGTTACTCTCCTTATATCAAAGAAAACATTTGGCATTTGGCTAGCTTCACTTAGCATAATCTGTTCTAATGCCATCCATTTCCCTGCAAATTCTATGATTTTGTCATTTTTTAATGCAGAGTAATACTCCATTGTGTATAAATGCCACATTTTTTTTATCCATTCGTCTATTGAAGGGCATCTAGGTTGGTTCCACAGTCTTGCTATTGTGAATTGTGCTGCTATGAACATCGATGTAGCAGTGTCCCTGTAGCATGCTCTTTTTAGGTCTTTAGGGAATAGAACGAGAAGGGGAATAGCTGGGTCAAATGGTGGTTCCATTCCCAGCTTTCCAAGAAATCTCTATACTGCTTTCCAAATTGGCTGTACCAATTTGCAGTCCCACCAGTAATGTACAAGTGTACCCTTTTCCCCACATCCTCGCCAGCACTTGCTGTTGTTTGACTTCATAATGGCTGCCAATCTTACTGGAGTGAGATGGTATCTTAGGGTGGTTTTGATTTGCATTTCTCTGACTGCTAGAGATGGTGAGCATTTTTTCATGTACTTGTTGATTGATTGTATGTCCTCCTCTGAGAAGTGTGTGTTCAGGTCCTTGGCCCATTTGTTGATTGGGTTATTTGTTTTCTTATTGTTTAATTTTTTGAGTTCTTTGTATACTCTGGATATTAGGGCTCTATCTGAAGTGTGAGGAGTAAAGATTTGTTCCCAGGATGTAGGTTCCCTATTTACCTCTCTTATTGTTTCTTTTGCTGAGAAAAAACTTTTTAGTTTGAGTAAGTCCCATTTGTTGATTCTAGTTATTAACTCTTGTGCTATGGGTGTCCTATTAAGGAATTTGGAGCCCGACCCCACAATATGTAGATCGGAGCCAACTTTTTCTTCTATCAGACGTGGAGTCTCTGATTTGATATCAAGCTCCTTGATCCATTTTGGAAAGCAGTATGGAGATTCCTGGGAAAGCTGGGAATGGAACCACCATTTGACCCAGCTATTGCCCTTCTCGGACTATCCCTGAAGACCTTAAAAGAGCGTACTACAGGGATACTGCCACATCGATGTTCACAGCAGCTAGACTGTGGAACCAACCCAGATGCCCTTCAATAGATGAATGGATAAAAAAATGTGGCATTTATACACAATGGAGTATTACTCTGTACTAAAAAATGACAAAATCATGGAATTTGCAGGGAAATGGATGGCATTAGAGCAGATTATGCTAAGTGAAGCTAGCCAATCCCTAAAAAACAAATGCCAAATGTCTTCTTTGATATAATGAGAGCAACTAAGAACAGAGCAGGGAGGAAGAGCAGGAGGAAAAGATTAACATTAAACAGAGACATGAGGTGGGAGGGAAAGGGAGAGAAAAGGGAAATTGCATGGAAATGGAAGGAGACCCTCATTGTTACACAAAATTACATATAAGAGGTTGTGAGGGGAATGGGAAAAAAACAAGGAGAGAAATGAATTACAGTAGATGGGGTAGAGAGAGAAGATGGGAGGGGAGGGGAGGGGGGATAGTAGAGGATAGGAAAGGTAGCAGAATACAACAGTTACTAATATGGCATTATGTAAAAATGTGGATGTGTAACCGATGTGATTCTGCAATCTGTATTTGGGGTAAAAATGGGAGTTCATAACCCACTTGAATCTAATGTATGAAATATGATATGTCAAGAGCTTTGTAATGTTTTGAACAACTAATAAAAAAATAAATAAAAAATGCTTGTTAAATCAACTAATTTTGTATGTATATCTTATACATGTGAATATACACTCATGTTTATAAAAAATAATAGTTGCTTATTGTAAAAAAATTCAGTAAAATGAGAAAAGTACTTAATGATTTTCAGAATCTTCAATTAAAATGCTAAAGTCTCAAAAGGACAACCAATAGAATATATTTCATAATTACTCAAGAAACACTCCCACATAAATACATTGTATATGAAGAATAACAATTTAATAATACTATGCTAGTTTTTCTCTTGGGTTTCTGAGATCTTTAGGTCTTGTCCACAAAGAAAATAATGTAAGAAATGTGATAACTCAAAGTTGGCTTTTCTATCATACAAATTAATTATTTGTAATTACCTAAAGTTGACAGCATGAGACTTGATGTAATGATGCTTTAAATTGGAAGTTTGAAATATCTTATCTATCTGAAGAAAGAACAAAAATCAGAATACAATTGTGTTAAATATGAATTTGAAGCATTTCAAAACATCACAAAATGCTTATTTAACGTCTACTGTGATACAAATATTATTTACTTCGATATTGTTTGTTATTACCAAAGAGCTCATTTGGGCATAATCTCGTTTTCATAAAATCATCCCTGTAATGGATATTGATATTTGAACAACTTTCCATATGTTCAAAGATGATCAAAATAAAGAGTTAAGTATTTCAACAATCATTATAACATATACAAAGCATTGGAGAATGAGTAGCTTTGACAACTTGATATACATGGACTCATTACCTGCTCATCAGTCAATGTTATTCAAACTCAGTTATCAGTCTTGTGGACGTGACTGAAGGATCAGGTTTTAGGTTTTAGTGAAACAATTTAGGTCAAATTTGGATTCTGTGGTAAATGAGGAGGGGAGGAGAACATGTAGGTATTGGACATTTCTCAAAAATCAAGTATTTAGCGTGAGAAATGCATGAAATGATTACTTAGATAAGATTATGAATGCCACTTGTGTGTTATTTTAGATTTCCTCATGAGGTAATTTCTCTGTGATACCCTCATAAAATTGTAGCTTGTATAGGACCTGTGGTCTTACAAGCCTGTGTATTACCATTGGCTCATTGAGCCGGCTTCTCAAGAAAACAACTGATCATATGCCAAACATTATGTGAACCCAAGTTTGAATACTAATTGTACAAATCAGTAAAGAGCTGCAAAGTTGTGAAACAGACTGTGTGTCAAAAAAGTATGCTTTCCACTCATCTAATTCAATATTTGTAACTTTCATAGAGAAATGTTGTGTGATATCATACTGGACAGGTTGGTAAGAAGTTTATTAAGAAATCAATATTCATTAAAAAACAAATGGCCATGTGTTTTCTTTTTGACCATGAAGGGAAACTTTTTAAAAGAAACAGTTATATATATATATATATATATATATATATATATATATATATATATATTATATAACAAAACTAATACATATGCATTATAAAAATATTTATAAAGTAATCAATATATAAAACTATAATAAAAAGCATTAATACCACCTGTAAATCACAGTCTAAAGAAACTATTATTTATGTTTTTGGAATATGCACGTCCATATTTAACATACATACACATTATTGTTATATACTGTTATATAGAATATTGTCTACATTATTGAACTTCAGAAGAAATCTATAAAATTCACTTTAGGTATTTGTTTTAATCATTTATTTTAGGAAAATATTTACTGTAGCTATAACTTATACTGTAAATCAGGAGTCAGTAAACTATAATCAAAGGTCAACTATGTCCTGCCATTGCTTTTTTTCCCCATGGTCTAAGAATGGTCTTCACATTTTTTTAATAGTTAAAAAAAATTCAGAAGAAAAATAATATTTTCTGACATTCAACATTTTTACAAAGTTCAAATTTTTCCAGTGTTCATAATAAAGTTTTCTTATGTATTTTCTGTGACTGCTTTTACACTACAATGACAGCTGTAATTACACAAAGACTATATAATTGCAAAGCCAAAAATATTTATTATTTTGCATTTTACGAAAACATTTTCTGACTTCTGGTCTAAATTATTGCACTTCCCTTTCTATATTATCTCCACTTATACTTTAAGGGGCAGGAAAAATAATAATGAATTGGTCATTTAGTTATTAGTTATCCCCTTGATGAAATCGTACCATATGACAGGTACTGAGAGGCATCAGAAATACTAGAAGGAGACAGCCCCAGCCTGAATGAATTCACAAGTCCAGAGGGGGCACAGGCATAATCAATAATATATTACTGTAAGGTGTTAAGTGCTCTAGAAAAGGGATATGAAATTTTTGTGAGATGCTAACATCTATTAAGACATTTTGTGATTTTTATTAAATGTATGTATTTATCCTTAGAAAACTCTTGAGAGGTGGGTAACTTTATCTCCAGTTTAGAGTTGAAAATTTGAGGAGTCAAATCACTTTTTTTAAAAGTTGTTAGGGTGGCAGAATAAGATTGTAATGTAAATCTAGATGTTTCTGACTCCATGGATTTGGGTTCAATATATTAGTTTCATATATAAAAATATTACAAATGCTATCCTGCTTTTTTTCTTCTCCTCCAATCAAAATTTCTTAGGATTTGGTTTTGAAAAGAAATTCCCATCTTACTGAATTACATTGTTCAACTCATTTCATCAGCTTCTACTTCTGATTGTGAAATGAGTGAAGAAATATTTTAAATAAGGCAGGAATGATGTTCCATCTCTCATCAATGCTGAATTCAGTCAAGCCTGTGGATATAGCTAAAATCTTCAGGGAAAGAGCTGTTCGGTGTGTTTCTGGGGTAATATTTTCCAGAGTAGGTGTTCGAGGTAAGTTGCCTAATAGGAAGGGCATCAGGGTCATCCACAGAATGTCTTAATAAATGGTGTGTGGTAATGTTGTTTGTACCTAAATGATTCAGTTGTTTTTAGATGACTCATAATATGTTTTATATTCCAGCTATTCATTTTTCTGTTGGACTTATGTGTTTTAATCTCTCAGTGCAATTATCTTTTGTTTAATGTATTTTTTTCTAGACTTCCTGAGACAAAATTGGTTAGAATTGCTTTACTTGGGAAATAAAAATAAAGTTAAATTTGAATTTCAGATAAACAATGAATGATTTTTAAACTACAAGTATCTTTCAAATACTACATTAAGATATTTTTAGGAGGTCCTGAAATTTAACTGGGTATTGAATATTTTAATTGGCAACTCAATTAAACACTCTCAATTTGCCTCTTGCTATCAAAAAATTGGGACATAAATCTAGATTTTTCTGACTTTTAAGTTTGGGCCGTCTCCCATTCAATGTATTACTTTCTCTAACAAAATATTCTGTAATCTGCCCTGTTTTCCACCCCACTACCACAACAATGAAAATTTCAGAGTAGCAATGATGCCAGGAAAGCTCAGACTTACCTCATTATTGATTTTATTTTTCAGGTTGGTCCTAATTTTTGAGTGTTCTACAGAAAAATCAGGACTATATTCAATATTGGGAATCCGGAAGGAGGCCTGGTAATACTGAAACTTCTGATCTGGAAGTGAAAACAGAAACAAAATACTTATGTCTAGTGTATTTGAGTTGTATATACGTAAGTATAGGGAATGAAAACAAAAAATATGGGGGATATGATTTATCCCCCATAGATTCCTATGCTGGAAATCTTATTCTCAATGTCGCAGTATTGAAGCATGGGAGGACCTGTACAGGTGGGGCTTAGTAGGAGGCAATTGGATCATGACTGCTCTTGAGAAGAGATTAATTCTGGTCTTGAAGAATGGGTTAGTTTTCAGAGGACTGGATTAATTCTTGTGAAAGTGGGTTGTTACAAAGGATCAAGACTGCCACCCCCCTGGTTTCTTGCTTTCTCTCTTGCTCCATAATCTCTTCTGCAGGCACTACTCACCTCTTATATGTACTCCAATGCTGTCCACTATGTTGTTATGTGACCAAGGGTCTCTTATCAGGTACACTCACCCAATATAGGCTTCAGAATAGTGAGCCAAAATAGTCTCTTTTTAAAGTACTCAGCTTCAGCTACTTTGTTATAGCAACACTAAGCAAACTAAGGCAGTTGTATAATTGATGAACTCCTAAATATTAAGCATTCAATAGCTATGAAAAATATCTTCCCCTAACCCTTTTTTAAGATCATATGTTTTCCTAGTCACCATGGTTTTAAGTTGTATCCTGACACCTGGTTGTGATCATTCATACTTTCAAGCTACTAATTAGTGATGGAATGTCTCATAAATTGACCTCAAAGTTAAAATTTCTACTAAAAAATTTTTTCTCCCAGCATGTTGAATATTATTGTACCATAAAGTAACAGCATGTAAATATGTGCATTGAGATATAATATTGTTTGAACCACACTAGATTTTAAGTGCTAGAAATAATTTTTATCATTAAGGATTATTATTTCCCAAATGTATTTAAAATTATTCAAATGCAAATTTCATTCTGAAATATTAGAAAATATTAAGGTTTTGAAATAGAACATCAGATTTCCAAAATAATACAATTGGATAGATACTTACCATATGCCAAAAAATAAACAAGGAGACCAACAATTATTGCCAGAGCTAATACGACTGTTGTGATAATAATGGCAATCACCCATGGTTTCAATGAACTTCTTCTTCCACTCAGTATCCCTGGTCTTTTGAGAAAGATATATATATTAAAAACAAAATAGGACTTTATAATTATTCTTTTTGGTATAGAATATTGTTTTCTGGAATTCTTGGTTCATATTATATTTGTTAACATTTGGATGTGTTATTCTGTAGACTACTGGAAAAAAATTCTATGAAAAGTTGAATTGGCATTTAACTTTATATTTTGACTTTACAAAGTCAGCAGTATACTACAATGAATTCTTATTTTACATACTTTCTGGTCCATAATACTAGATGTTCTGAATTTCAGTATTTTTGTTAACAAACTAATATCATATATTTGGCTCATATGCTTCAGATGAACCTCAGGGAACAAAAGCATCTCAGTCACTCTTCTAATTCTAACATAAACAGACAGAAGTACAGAGATTACTGAAATCTAGTTAAATATTGACAAAGCCAGAAATATTGGGCTGTTAGAACTTTGTTTCGTACCTTTATACTTAAACCTATGGCTCCCATTTGTAGGAGGTACAATCTATGATGCATATGAAAAACATCTAAAATTGAGGAGGTTTAAGAAAATAAAATAGAAGAAAATTATGAAGAAAAAAACAAGAGAAAGTTACTGATATTATGAACAAACAAGTCAATAGTGTTAACTTAAGACATTGGACCCAGGTACTCTGGTATGATATAATGAGTTATCTATCACATAGGGTTACATTTCAAGCATGTGATTTTTATAGATGATATTGCTTAGGATAAAGTCACATTTATTTGAGTAAGCATAAAATAAATTTAAAGAAAAATATTAAGGCAATAATAGTTTCAGTAACTACTGTTTCATATGTGGTTAAAAAAAGGTGTTAAGCAAATTGATTGATATTTTGGAGACCCAATGGAAACAGGGTAATGTGACAAAGTTCTGTCCCATGCCAGTGGCAGGGCCAACAGTCTGAAAGAAAAATATGAACAATTACGGAGTTGAGGCAGGCTCACATAATGCCAATACGGGTTGTCCATATGAGGTCTAAACCATAGGGAAAGTGGATAGGAATATGGTTCTGAGAATTCGAGGTGCTGGTTTTTGCTCTGTCAAAATTATACATGAAGAAAAAGGAATTATTTTTCTTGGATTAATGCCTGGTAATAGTAAAGAGGAAAGCAGGCCCCAATAAATAACTGAAGGAATCAGTTGAGTTACTCCTTTAGGCAACAATAAATTGGAAGGGGTGAAAATGTCCCTGATGTCCTTGGATTTGGGCAAAGGGGAATTCATAGGTTTTCTTTCTATACCACAACCATCAACTAGAGCTCTGCTAAGTAGTCAGGTAGCACTAATTCTGAGTTCAGCTGGGTTTCTGAAAAGATCTAGAGTCACACTGGCCTGTAACTTTTTGGTTGGCAGCAAGACAAAAGCATAACAATCTGCAAACATCTGAAGTGTCTTAAGAAGAATGGGAATGAAGCTAGGCACAAGCAAAAGCTGATGGAAATACATATCTCCTTTATTAATAGAAGCCATGGCAATCATGAACTCATTCAGTTAATCTTTAGTGAGTTTCTTTTGCATGCCAATTAATCATCTGCTACAGATTCAAAATAATAAAGATACATTCTCTTATATTTTATGATGTATAATCGAGGCACATGGAATAACTACTATAATAAAAGTGCTATATGTTATTGTGGAATTATGCCCAAAACACTATCAAGATGAATGGATACAAATGGTTTTTGCCTTAGAGAAGTTGTCAGGTGAACTAAGCTTTGAAGGCTGATGAGGAAGAATTAACTGCAAGGCCAACATGTACCTCAGGAAGAGAGAACTGCATAAGCAAAGACAAGGGGACATGAGAACCTAGGACAAATTCAAGAAAATGGAATATGCAGATGAGATGGTAGGAAGACTTAATTAATACACTTATTTATTAACTGGCTCAACAGGTATTCATCAAGAGTTATTATATACAAAACATAGGAGAAGATAGAGAAGAATCTTCAGTAGCTCTTCTCTTAGAGGAATAAAGGAGGAGTACAGTGTTCACAAAATGCTACCAGAATTGCAGAAAATTTCTAAGAGAATTCCAGAGAAGAACCAATACTTCCTTTTTAGAGGAAGTATATAAAAGCCATTATAGTTTCCATATGAGGTGTCTCACAAAAGCTCATGCAGAGACAGCACAAGAAAGTCTAGAGGTGAAATGATTGGCTTGTGAGAGCCTTAACTAATTGGCGCGTTAATCCACTTAAATGGATTAACTGGGTGATCACTATAGGCAGATAGTGTGGCTGGAGGAGATAGGTCACTAGGGACATGCCTTTGGGGTCTAGATTTTGTTCTTGGTATGCTGACCGTAGTCTTTCTCTGCTTCCTGGTGGCCATGTCCTGAGCAGCTTTCCTCTGCCACATTCTTTTGCCATAATGTCCTGTCTCACCTCAGGCCCAAAGGAACGGAGTGGACATCTGTGGACCTGAAACCCCTGAAACTGTGACCCCCCAAATAAACTTTTCCTCCTCTAAAATTAATCTTGTCAGCTTTTTGGTTACAGCAGTAACAAAGCTGACTAAAACAATGACTAAAAAAATTAATATTTTTTTTAAAGTTTAAAAACACTGTCCCCACCCTCTTAATGTGTTTGTCTCTGAGTCAGATATAGAAAACAATTCATAAAGAGGGATCTTGTTTTGCAACAACATTTATATCTTCCAAAGGATATGATTAGCTATTGAATTATTATGCTTCTAACACCAGAAACATCACTGTGACTAAACTGCAGTCTTAGTTGTCACAAGTGAGAAAATGTTCCAGTTTATTTCCTTAACCATGCAGAGACACTCCAAAATATTTATTCCTATTTTTTTAAATAAAATATTTTTCTCCCTATTTTTTTAATAAGAACCTGTTTAACTTAAACAGTGGCTATAAATAAATATTTATATTTTTTAATAAGAACCTGTTTAACTTAAACAGTGGCTATAAATAAATATAAATATTTATAAATATATTTATATATAAATATAAATAATATAAATATTTATATGTATTTAGATAATATAAATATAAATATTTATATAAATATATATATATATAAATATTTATATATATAACAAAAAAGATATTAGCTACTGTTTAAGTTAAACAGGTTCTTATTAAAAAAATAGGGAGAAAAATATTTTATTTAAAAATACATACTGTGGGGTCGGGCTCCAAATTCCTCAATAGGACACCCATAGCACAAAAGTTAATAACTAGAATCAACAAATGGGACTTACTCAAACTAAAAAGTTTTTTCTCAGCAAAAAATACAATAAGAGAGGTAAATAGAGAGCCTACATCCTGGGAACAAATCTTTACTCCTCACACTTCAGATAGAGCCCTAATATCCAGAGTATACAAAGAACTCAAAAAATTAGACAATAAGAGAACAAACAACCCAATCAACAAATGGGCCAAGGACCTGAACAGACACTTCTCAGAGGAGGACATACAGTCAATCAACAAGTACATGAAAAAATGCTCACCATCTCTAGCAGTCAGAGAAATGCAAATCAAAACCACCCTAAGATACCATCTCACTCCAGTTAGATTGGCAGCCATTATGAAGTCAAACAACAACAAGTGCTGGCGAGGATGTGGGGAAAAGGGTACACTTGTACATTGCTGGTGGGACTGCAAATTGGTGCAGCCAATTTGGAAAGCAGTATGGAGATTTCTTGGAAAGCTGGGAATGGAGCCACCATTTGACCCAGCTATTCCCCTTCTCGGTCTATTCCCTAAAGACCTAAAAAGAGCATGCTACAGGGACACTGCTACATCTATGTTCATAGCAGCACAATTCACAATAGCTAGACTGTGGAACCAACCTAGATGCCCTTCAATGGATGAATGGATAAAAAAAATGTGGCATTTATACACAATGGAGTATTACTCTGCATTAAAAAATGACAAAATCATAGAATTTACAGGGAAATGGATGGCATTAGAGCAGATTATGCTAAGTGAAGCTAGCCAATCCCTAAAAAACAAATGCCAAATGTCTTCTTTGATATAAGGAGAGTAACTAAGAACAGAGTAGGGTCGAAGAGCAGGAGAAGAAGATTAACATTAAACAGGGATGAGAGGTGGGAGGGAAAGGGAGAGAGAAGGGAAAATGCATGGAAATGGAAGGAGACCCTCAGAGTTATACAAAAGTACATACAAGAGGAAGTGAGGGGAAGGGGAAGAATAATATAAGGGGGACAAACGAATGTCAGTAGAGGGAGCAGAGAGAGAAGAGGGGAGGGGAGGGGAGGGGAGGGGGGATAGTAGAGGATAGGAAAGGCAGCAGAATACAACAGACACTAGTATGGCAATAGGTAAATCAATGGATGTGTAACTGATGTGATTCTGCAATCTGTATATGGGGTAAAAATGGGAGCTCATAACCCACTTGAATCAAATTGTGAAATATGATATATCAAGAACTATGTAATGTTTTGAACAGCCAACAATAAAAAATTAAAAAAAAAAAATAGGGAGAAAAATATTTTATTTAAAAAAAGGAATAAATATTTTGGAGTATATATATATATTTATATATGATAATAGAATAAATATATATTTATATATGATAACAGAATGTATTTCAATTCTCATTGCACATATAGAGCACAAATTTTCATATCTCTGGTTGTATACATAATATGTTTACACCAATTCGTGTCTCTATACCTGTACTTTGGATAATAATGGTCATCACATTCCACCATCATTAATAACTCCATGCCCCCTCCCTTCCCCTCTAACCCCTCTGCCCTATCTGGAGTTCGTCTATTTCTCCCATGCTCCCTCTCTCTGTCCCACTATGAATCAGCCTCCTTATATCAAAGTAAGCATTTGGCATTTGTTTTTTTGGGAGATTGGCTAACTTCACTTAAAATTATCTTCTCTAACTCCATCTATTTACCTGCAAATGCCATGATTTTATTCTCTTTTATTGCTGAGTATATTCCATTGTGTATATATGAACAGTGGCTAATTTCAGTGGCTGTTCTAG